GCACTAGGCAGTGGGAAGAGGTGTGTTAATTTTCCGGTGAGGTTTTAGGGAAGATCTCCTTGAGATCTGCAAAGTGGAATGCAAAGCCATCTGTGTGTCTGTACGTATGAGGGTGGGTCTTGCTTTGTTGTGCATTGAGCTGCAGACCGGACTGTCCGGAAGCAGCGGATATAAACAGGCCATTGGGCAGAAATCTGAAAGCATGACCTGCCGATAGTTTGCAGATGTCAGATCTGTACTGCATCATGACGAGGCGTTCCTAGCGGGAGAAGAGACTTTGAAGGCCTCCAGCTGGTAGAACACAATCCCCATTTTTCAGCTGGAAAAGTCGGCGTCACTAACGGCATGTTCCAGAAGGACAGTTTGGGCGGGATGCAGCAGCTGTCTGAGTTTTTGCAGTTGCCCAGTTTTGGGCCCCTCCTCAGATGTGAGTCTGTGGGGCCAGGGCTGCTCGAGGAGCTGTCACCGCAGGCTGCTCGCCTCTGCCCGCTGGCGGAGGACTGGGATTTCTTTTTGCATTCTTGGGACAGATGGTATAGTTATTTTAAGTGACGTGCTGCAGTGAAAATGGGCAGCTCTTTCTCATTCTTCAGCTTAATGAAAAGAAGAAGAGGGAAAAGGAGAAACCCCAGCTAGCCAACTTCGTACTAAGGGGTTTGTCCTTTTTGGATTCTAAATGTGTCCCAAGACACTGAGATGGGATAAATATTTCAGCCACTAGAAAGTCCTGCTGTCGGGCTGAAAAGATTTCTAACCTCTTTTAAAGCAGACAGGGTAGGAATTTACTTGCACAAATCCAGACACCCCCAGGTCCCTTATTTTTAACTGTATGTGTACAGATCCCACTCACCTTCCAGGGGAATGAGGCCGAGGGTGGGTGGAACTTCCCAAGGAAGACCGTGAGAGATGGGGGTCCCTAAGCCCCGACGCTTGGTTTTCCCCTTAGAGCGACCACGGGTATTTATTGGGGGCCTGCTGAGCCCCGGGTGCCGAGGACGTGGAGCTGAGGAGACAGCGCTGCTGTCCGTCAGGGGCGTGCAGTCTATTGGGGAGATGGCACAGATACGTCAGGAAGCACAAGGGAAAACAGAGGACACAGGCAGAGTGTCCAGCTTTGGAAAAGAAAAACAGAGGGACCAGCTTTAGATTGGGTGTAGATGAAGTACCGTCAGAGTGAGGGATAAAGAAGCCTGCAGGAGGGGTGAGGAGGTGAGCCAGGTGTGTGAGTTTGCGGGGGCAGCCCTAACAGGACCGCAGACCGGGGGGCTTGACCAGCAGAAGTGTATTGTGTCACAGTTCTGTGGGCTGGGAGATGGAGATCGAAGAGGGGCAGGATTGGTTTCTTTGGAGGCCTGCGTCCTTGGCTTGGAGCCGGTCATCGTCCCTGTGTCTCTTCACATGGCCTTCCCTCTGTGTGTCTGTGTCCAGATTTCCTCTTGTCAGGGCCCCAGTCAGGCTGGAGTAGGGCCCTCCCCGACGGCCTCATTTTAACTCACTCCCTTCTTTAAAGGCCCCGTCTCTGAGTGCAGTCACATTCTGAGTCCTATGGATTAGGACTCCGTGATAGGATTTTTTGGGGGACACAGTTCAGCCGTGATGCCAGGTGCAAAGTGAGGGGAAGAATTGTGTCCGTGAGCAGCAGGCGCAGTCCTTGGTGCTGGGGGGACATGTGTGTCCCAGGAAACGGTTGGAAGTGGCCGTGGAAGTAGACAGGGCTAGATCATGCCCGGCCTTGTAAACCACAGCCAGAGTTTGAGTTTATTCTAAGGGCACCGGGAAGCCATCAGTAGCACCGTAAAACCTCCCTCTGTTGTAGGAGGAGCTGGGGGGCATGAGAAGTGCACGTTGGAGGTTGGTTGAAGCCAGGATTTCTGAGCCTCGGCGCTGTGGACATTTCGGGCGGATGGGTCTGTGCTGGGAGGGGCAGCCCTGTGCATTGCAGATGCACAGAACCAGAATCCACTCACTACATCCCGCAACCAAGAGAGTCTCCAGACACTGCCGCTTGTCCCTGGAGCGGGCAGAGTTACCCTGTGGTGGGAACCGCTGGTTTAAAGGGGCAGGCGGGCACGGTGCTTGGGTTGGATGGTGCCAATTTAGTGAGGCACGTTGGATGGATTTGAGGAAGATTTCTGAAGACAGAATCAACCGGATTTAACTTCTTTTTCCTTGGTTTGTCCTCATGCTTTTGAGTTGGATGATATTGTCACTTCCTTTCCACCCAAGGCCCTTTGCCCCCTGCGTGCATACTGGAGCTGCTCAGAGAGCACAGAGACATTCCTCTGTGTTCTCAGTCACCCAGCCTGGGGATGCCCGGTCCTGCTGGGAGCCTCGTGGCGGCCAGGTCCACCTGTTCATAACAGACTGGTATTTAGCCCTGCATCACACCCTACATTTGTCAAGTCTGTGTGCCGCCAGCCTATCGCCTCTCTGAGCAAGCCCTTTGGAATCTAATCTGGCCAATTTTCTGCCTCCGGAAATCTGTTTATCAGAACAAGATTTCACAGTTGCAATGAGTCTTCCAGGGGCCTTGCCTTGGAGGAGCTGGCTCTAAGAAGCCAGTGTGTGATTTCCTAACAAAGCAGAACGGTGGTCACCTTCTGGAGCCCTGGAGAGCTCCCTGCTGGCTGGGGAGTCCGGGCAGTTGTTAGCAAACAGCTGGAATGTGTGGCTTTCTGGGTTGAGCATCCGAGTCTGGTTGGGATCCAGCATCTGGCGGTCCTTCTAGGCTTCTCTCCTATGTCTTCCCCTCGGGCATCTCGAGCCCTCGCCTGGAAGTGGTGAATTGGTTTCGTGTTCTTCTCAGGGTTGGTGGTGGCTTTCTGGAGTCCGGTCTTGAGAGGGGTTCTGGGATCGAGTGTCGCCTCAGCAGGCAGACTGCCACGATGATGATGTCTGACTTGGTGGAATAGGGGAAATAGTGGCACAGTCCATTTGCACTTCCGAACCATCAGAGCTGTGTGCTTCTTTATGCCATACTCCTCCGTGCCCTGGGCCGAACCTTCCTCACCTGTCTTTGCTGTCGGATCTCTAGGCCTGAGGGCCCTTACATTCCATCTCTCTGTCAGCGTCCACTGCAAATGCCACCTCTCTCCTGGAACCTTTCTTTAATGCCTTGAATTTTGACTTTATCTTAAGAACATTGGGGAGCCATTCAGTGGCTTTTTTAAACTAAGGAAGTGTCATGATCAATTAGCTCTTTCGAAAACTCCCTCTGGCCACAGTGAGGGGAGGGGGGAGGTGGAAAGGCCCAACCGGGAGAGGTGGCAGTGATCCTGGTGAGAGGTGGGGGTGACTTGGGCTCGGGTCGTGGCTGTGATGATGGAGAACAGTGTTCAGATGACTGGCCACCCATAGGGGCTGAAGGAGTGAGGAGCAGACAAGGGAGGTTTTCGGGTTCTGTGCAGGTGGTTGGGGCAGGGCGAGGCCCCTCCCTGGAGCTGCTGCCTCGGTGGGCTCTGGAAGTTCATTTCAGTTGGGAAACTTGCATGTCTGTGATGACTTCAGCACAGTGGGGCAGCTGGTCCACAAAGAATACCCATGGCACCCGGGCTGATGTGGGACTGCTTGCCGGTGGCTGTGTCCACTGCAGTTTGTTGTTGACCGCCTGTTCCAGTTGTCACACAGTTTTAGTGTCACCCCAGTAGTACTGTAGCTGCCTAGGAGAGTAAGTATTCATCTCTGCTCGGAGCCATCAGGGAACACTTCAGAGGGAGGGTAACAGAGAAGTTGTATGCTAATGGTTATGCAGGGATTTACTAGGAGACCCGGTGGTCGAAGGGCTTTCCAGGTAAAAATAATCGCATATGGAAAGGTGAGTGGCATGGAAGAAGATGTGACGTCAGGGATGCAGGAGATGCTTCTCTTTGGCAAAGCTTGTGAAAGAGGGTCGTGGGCCCCACTCTCCTCCTGCTGCCCAGACAGGTCTGGACTCCCCTCTTTTTAGTACATGGTGCTGAAATCACTAGTGTACCCGTGTGCCCTTCCAGCCTGAAGGAGGAGCCCTAGCGTTCAGCTCTGCATCTCTAGCACCTAGCACCAGTGTCTGGTCATAAATATTCAATAAATGCTTCTTGAAGACTCCGGAGGGAGCCCTGGAGGGACTGGTCTTTTTTTTCTCCTTTTCCCCTAAGACCATTTTACTTCCAGAGGGCTCCTTATCTCTCAGCTATTGATCACACTGGCTCAGACTGATCAGATTGATCAGATTCTGGCTGCCTGGAGACTCTGCCCCTGGGGCCCATTGGTGGGTGGACTCAGCACCCCGTGCCCCTGTGATCTTGGCCTTTTCTTTTTGTTTCCAGCTGAGATTTGGCACTTTGGGGTGAGGGCCTTGGCATTTTATGCCTTTGTTCAGTGGAATTGAATCTAAACCTCAGGCTGGGTTCTAAACCCCCGGGAACTTTCGGCACACAGTCAGTGACCTTGGTACCCTCTTGGGAGTCAGGATGCCTGAATTTGAGTTTCAGTTTGGCCTCCCTTCCCGGGCGACCTCTGGCAGGTTGGTTTTGTGGGCTGGGGCTCCAGTTTCCTAAAGTGAAATGATCTCCCAGGATTCCTGCTGACGTGGCTCAACTTCAAGGATGCCGTGAAGGGGCAGAAGGGCCACAGTTCCTGTTGCTGGAGGCCTTGGGAGTGGGGCGCTCACTCCTGTCTTGGAACCTTCATTTTTAGCCACTGCCGACCGCCAGACAAGAAGGTTTAGATTTCACCACGAAGGTTTTTGACGGAGAAAGAAGAAAAGCCAGTGAGCACCCGTTGTGGGCCTCAGGCACCTGCTGAGGGTGTCCCCGTATTTCTCCCGTCTCCCTCTCAGACTCCGGGGGTGGGGAGGGAGGGGCAAGATGGTCAGTCCATCTCACAGATGAGGAAACTGAGGCCCCTCCTGGAAGTCTCACTTATACGCCCGCGCCGAAGGAGAGCCCGTGCCGTTGTAGGGGTACCGCTGTCCTCGCGCCTCTGCCGTGCCGGCTGACCTCCCTGTCCCCTCTCTCCTGCAGAGGGCCAGCTGCTCCCAGGGAACAACTTCACCAATGAGTGCAACATTCCAGGCAACTTCATGTGCGGCAACGGGCGCTGCGTCCCTGGCGCCTGGCAGTGCGACGGGCTGCCCGACTGCTTTGATGGCAGCGACGAGAAGGAGTGCCGTGAGTGAGGGCCTGGCAGGGGTGGTGGGGTGGGGTTGACGGAGGGGAGGGGGGGCCTCAGGTGGGGGTGGAGGGGGTAGCAGGGGAGGCAAGGTGTCGGGGGACCCCCAGGCCGGGGCGGCAGGGTCAGCGGGATGGGGTGGGGACCCCGGGCTGGTGAGGTGAGGGCGGCAGGGTAGCTGAGGGGACCCCGGGCCAGGGAGCTGGCCGGATCAGGCCCTCTCCCTGCGCTCTGCTTGCTGCTGCTGGTGGGCTTGGGCCTCTGGCGGTGGCCTGCCCTCTACCTGTCGCTCTGTCTCAGAGCAGCATGGTCTGCGCAGAAACAGGGGGCTCGGTGGGGACCGAGCCACAGCTCTGGGAGAGCAGAGGACCCTGCCCCACCCTGGGGGACTGTCAGCCTTCATGTTCCACAGGAGGAGTCGGAGACTCCTGGGGTTACGCAGCTTCAGGACCTCCCGACCAGGAAGCTGCAGACCTGGCTTAGAACCCAGGGCTGCCTGACCCCCAGGCCCAGGCCGGTGACCATTGCTCCCATCTTGTACGTTGTGCAGTGTGCCCGGTTAAATAAGGTGTAGCTTGGTCGGTACTGCCTAGCTGGAGAGTAATTTGCTTCTCTGCCTTTCTCTCTGCCGACACGGCCCGGGCGTCATCTTCAGATGGGCACTGCTAGGACCTGGGAGTTCTTTCTGATCTTCCCCATCCCACCCCACCTCCTCCTCCAGCCTCTTTCCCGTTTCGTGCCCCCAAAATGGGCATGAGATCTGGGTTGGTGGTCATCCTTGAGAAAGGAGGCACTTGGGACGTGGTTGAGGGGCGTCCAGGGGGTGGAATGGTCGTGCTCCCTCCCCGTGGACACATGTTCTCTTCCTCGCCAAGTTTGGCCCTGCAGGCTGAGCTCCGCAGCGGCCCCTGGCGGGGGTGGGGAAGCGCACGGAGGGGTGCTGGGCCGGGGTTGTCTGGGGGGACTGCCTTGGGACCACACAACTGGACAGTGGTTCTCGGTTCTTCCCTGCGCTTGGGCACCAAGCCACAGAGCCTCTCTGACAGGAGAACTGTGTGTTCTGGCTGAGTCTGCTCTCTCTGGAAGCCAGCTGAGGAAATGGCTGAGGAGGGGTGATAATCTGAACTTTTAACATAGCCGTTCCCAGGGAGTGAGGCCCGGTCTGTTGACGCTCAGGAAGGAGTCCTGGATCTGGACCCCACCTCTGGAGCCAGCCAGCCCTCCCTCACACGTGCTCCCTCGGGCAGGCCGCCCATGCTGAGATGGGCCCCTGGTCTGACCCCGGGGTCTAGTGTCTTGCCTGTCTGCCTGCCTCTACTCTTCAGAGAGGCTTCCAGAGGGGGTGGATTGGGAGGATGTTTTTTGTGGGAAATATTTCATTTGGTTTGTTGCGTGTGATTTTTTCTGAATAGACCAGTACACACAATGCATTTTTTATTTTTGCAGAATTTAAAAAGAGGTATTATATCTACTTCAGCTTTCTCTGTTTCTAGCGTGGCTTCACAATTGCTGGAAATTTAGTGTTTGTAATTTGAGTTACATATGAGATAGTATGTGTGAGCTGTATCAGCTGTCCAGTTTTGAGCATTATTAAGCACTATGAGTACGTGGAAGGATCCTTTTTGGAACACGGTGTGTATTTGCCCTCCAGTAAATGCAGATTGTCTTCAGCTGAGCCGAGAATATTCGGCAGAGGATAAGTTTGTGAAAGGATGCAGAATTGGGATTGAGACCCAAGTTCTGTGCCCAGCTTCGTCAGTAGCAGCTATGTGATACTGGGGTATTTGGTGACATTCTGTGTCCTCTTCCCATCCGGTTCCATGATTTCAGGATTCATGTGCAGACTGGAAGAGGCGGTGGAAAGAAAATATAAAAGAAAGATGGTGCGGGCAGCTGCCTGGCGCAGTTTGGTTTGGTGTGGAACAGGTTTGTTTTGGCTCTTCTCCATCATTTTTTTCTCCTCATTTCGTACCCATAACCCCCGAGTGTAGTCGAGACTTGATCGACCTTTATTTAGTCTTTTGATCAAAACAATGAAAAAAACCATACACACAAACCCAGGCAGTAAGCAAACCTCTTCTCTGTTGCCCTTCTTTTTTTTTTGGTCCTTAAATGATAAAAACAGAAGGACACTAGAAAATTCAGACAACAGAGCAAGGAAGAGAAGTCGGGTTGTAAAGCAGAATCGACCTGCGTTTTCAGTTTCTCACCTGTTGCCTTCCAGCCCAGGTGTTGAGGGTGCCAGCTCTGGAGAAGGACTGTGTCCGAATACCAGCCCCTCCCCTGTGCCATGTCAGATCTTAGGAAAGTGACCAGAATGTTCGTAGCCATTGGAAGGATTAAATGAAAATTCTTAACTGCCGGTTCCCCAATTTCCTCCTCTCCGGAGTGAGAATATGGGTGCTAATGAGCTCTGCTGGGAGGTTTGAGCGCATGTCACACACGCAGCACAGTGCCGCATATAGCAGGTGACCGTAAACAGGAAGTGATGCTGGTCCGTCCGCACAAACTAATACGGCGTCGTCATGAAGATTGCCACTCAGCAGCCTTCTTTGTTCTGCTTCCCCTTAAAGCCCCTTGCCATGTGACCATAGTTAGACAGAAGAAACTTTTTATCATAAAGGTGATAAAAAATCACGTATTGTAAAAACTGGGGGAACGAGGAGGAGAAAAACAACGGACTCGCACAGAGTCCATCCTGTAACAGAACCGCTATTAGCATCTTGAAAGTTTTCATTCAAGCTTTGCCCAGTTGTAATCACCATGGGTATACAGTTTTATATTTTGATTTTTTTCCCCAGGTAACATTTTAACATTTTTGGGTTTTCTTTTTCATATTTCTCTACCATTTTTAATGCTTAGATGAATAGTCCATGCACTTGGTAAAATATAGTTTATTTACTCATTTGGCATTTATGTTGTGTTCAGTTTTTCGCTGTTAGAAATAATGTTCGCTGTCATGACCACGAGGATGGACATGACTTTCCCTGTTTTGAGAAGTTTTCTTAGGCTGGATTCTCAGAAACGAAATTTCTGGGTTGAAGGACAGGAGCCTTTTCTGGTTCTCGAAACAGATGCCCGCTTGTTCCGCTTACAGTTCGCTTCAGCTCTCTCTCTCGTTGGCAACTTGTGAGAAGTCTGGCTTTATTTTAGGCTTGGCAGCATTGGGTAATATCTCAAAATATTTTTTTTTCTGGCTAATTTAATAGTTGAAAATGGTTATACATTTTAATTTTCAATTTTTTTTATTATCTGAAGAGAGTGAATGCTTCCCCATACCCCTGTTTACTAGTTGTATTTCTGACTTTGTGAAATAGCTATTAACGGACTAGAATAAATTTCCAACTGGGTTGAGTCATTAAATTTTCAGCCTCGTGTATCTGGAGAACCTCTGCTTAGAGTTTTGAGAAAAGAGGCTCATTTTGGGGTAGTTTGAATGTATTTCTGTTTTTGGTTAATGGCAGGCCCTAAATGATTGTTTTATCAAAGTAACTTTTTTTTTTTTGGTAATAAAAGGAATAGAGATATGTTTTAGAAAAATGTGGCAGCTCCTTGAAAGCACTTATGACGAGAGCCTTGACCTGTGCGTCCCTGAGCTTGCTCTGGGCTGTGCCATCCCAGGCACGTTACGTGACATTAACTCATTTGCTTGTCACAAGCCTCATGAGGGACTGTGGGTATCTCCAGATGAGGAAACTGAGCCACAGAGAGATTCCACGGAGCTCCCCTCCTGTCCCAGAGAGTTGTCCCCATAACCTTCCTCCATCATAGGCCTCAGTGGGACCAATCAGTCCTCTCTCTGTGTGTGGCTGTGTTAGTTCCTCTGCGGAATGGGATTGTACTGTGTTATCACTACTAACCGGCTTTTTAAAAAACATTTAAAAATGTTGATGATGTTTTTCTATGCAAGTGATTTTCAAGTGGCTACTAGTCCTGTGAGCTCTGAAAGAAGAGACGACTGAATTCCTGCCGCTCGTGCCACGCTAAGCGGCCGTCCAAAGTTCCAGGACCCTGAGGTGATCTGGAATCCTGGGCCTCCCAGTTCTGTGAGGAATTTGAGCCGCCGTCTCTCTGCGGCCTAACCAATTGGGGGCGAGATCTTGACTGTCTGAGATCCAGGTCACAAAGTAGTTCATTTTCTCCTTTGAAAAATTACAGTGATCGATATCTTTGACTTGGCTTGTACGAACTTTTAAAGTCTCAGGTCCTTTATGTTGTTTTGTGTGTCTGTGTGTGTGTGTGTGTGTCTGTGGAGGGGGTGGAGAAGGAGATAAATTCAAGGACTTTGTCATATGATGAAATTCTGATGGAGTCTCTGAGTCCAGAGACACGGAGAAGTAGGTGCAGAAATGGGATTTGAATTTCATTTGCTTTACTGTCCCCGACTCTTTCTTGAGCACGCCTTCTAATTGCTCTGGCGTGATGGCAGAAATCGGCGAGCTAGTGTCGAGCGGGCAAGTTCGCAGTAAGCGTCTCTGAAGCAGAAGAAATGTGTCCTCTTTCCCTTTATCGTCCTTCTCATCTTCTGCCTCTGGGTGGCGCCACATGTAGGCGTTCTTTTAAACCTGGTGCAAGCAGAGAGATGAGGGAAAAAGCCTAGATTCTGAGTTATTATCCTTCCCAAACTGTAGCAGTAATTTGGCTCTCTCACCAGGGCACCCACTGCTTGGCTCATGTTGAAATGCCCCAGGAAATCAGCAGTTTCCACAGGGTGGAGGCAGCTTGCCCTTCCTCTCCGGCTGCTCTGTTTTTTTCTCACGGGGGATGGTGAGCGCTGATGGCCGTGGCCCAGGAAGGATGCAGCCACGGCGGGGTTTAGTCCTTCCCCGAAGCTGTGTAAAAAGAAAACTGGCCCAACGCCACTGATGTGGGTTGAACTGGATTGACACAGTCCTGGGGATGTAATTAGTTAAGACAAGGTCCTACTGGAGTAGGGTGGGCCTGAATCCGATATGGCTGGTGTCCTTATAAGAAGATGGTATGAGGATGGGTGGGAGGG